TGGCCTCCTACCCAGGCCTCTCCCTTCCCTCCCCTGACGCTGAGCCAGATGAACGGGACAGTGGGCTACGCGCTTCAAGGGCATCATTTCACTGAATCCTCACCGCAAGCTGGTGAGGTCATCACTACGTCTTCATTTTGCAGATAGAAAACAGGCTCGGTCAGGTTGAGGCAGATGGGGACAGTTGTCTCCAGGTGCTGGAGGCTCTTTCGCTCCCCAACCCACGCCCTGTGGGGCTGCAGCGCGGCCTGCCCCCTCCTTTCACACCTGATTCGGGCCAGTTCCTGGGTCCCCAGGCCCTGGGCCTCGCCAGCTGCCCCTCCTCACCAGAGCCCGGTGCCTCCGTCCTGTCTCCCCCTCCCTGTGGGGTTCCCCTTGAACTTGGAAATAGCCGACATTAGTGAGAGGGCTGGGAGCAACCATAGTATTAGACCCATGGACTCGGGAAGGAAGCATGGACTTGAGCTTGGACATGCTGGGGTTGGGTCTTGTGTTCTGGTGTCTATTTTAGCCGTGTGACCACCTTACACTCCCTGACCGCAGCCTCCTCCTCTGAAAACATGATGAGGGCGGGGGCAGCACTGTTCCTGTGGGGAAAGCTCTAAGGGGCGGGGACCATGTCCGGCCTGCTCCTCAGGTTGTGAGGTCTTAGGAGTTCAATAACCGTGGGGGAGTGGAATGACTATTGATTAAATAAGAAATGCACGTGAGGCCCTTAGCTCAGCACTCGACAGGAAATGAGCCTGTAGCAAATGCTCAATAAATACCAGCTGCTATTGTTAGTAGGCCACAGGGGAGGCACCTGTAACTCTGGGTCGTGAAGGGTCCCAGGATCCGACAGCTCTGGGGGTCCCCAGTGCCCACTCAGGAACATCAAGGGAATGAATTGCCTGGGCGGGCCCCACGTCCACCTGTGCCACCCCATCCTGTCTCCCTGGCCCAGCTGGCCTTTCCCACCAGGAGTTTAGAAGGAAAAGCAGAGGAAGTCGCAGGCCTCTGCTGAGCCAGCTAACCAGACCTAATTAATCGATAAGCCAGGCTGCCGCTTTCCTGCCAACCAGCCGCCCGAAGGGTACTTACTCCATCTGCGAATTGATTGCCACGCTTTCGCCACCGCTACGGCTAGTGCCACCACCCGCAGAGGCTGGGTGCCAAGGGGAACTGGGAGCAGCCCGGCGGGAACCGCCCTGCCACCTTGCCAGGGGGACACGGGCTCCAGGCGGCCCTGGTTCTCGTGTTACAGACGGGTAGCCAGGGTCAGAGCTGGCACCCAGCGCACCCGGCACCAGCTCACCAAGCGCCGGCATGGAGCTCTTAATCTGGGTGAGGCTGAAGACCTAAGGCTCTTCCCTGCTCCTCTGGCCTTTCCTGGGTACGCTCAGCCCCATTTCTGCATCTCCGAGTTTCTCCCGTGAGAAAGATGATCTTTACCCCCTGAGGTTTAAGGGGCACTACAGGTCCTGACTGTCACCATTCGGCCTGGACCCTGCAGCTTGCCCAGACATCAGGACAGTGCCGGAGCCACAGTGAAGAGCCAGGTGGGCCCTTGCCCAGACTTCCGAAGATGAGGGCGCCCTCGTAGCATTCCAAGGCAGGTCAGAGAAGGGGCCGCAGCCCCCAGAAGGCGTAAAGCACTGGTCTCCCACCTCGGAGATGCTGGGCCTGGCTGGACCGTGGGGCAGAGAGAGAATCTTAAACCAACCAGAACGGTGCTTCCAAGGGCAGGCAGAGGTCACCAAGATGAGCAGAGACCCAAAGCCTGGACACAGATCTGAGAAACAGACGCAGGAACTTGATCCTTGACGCCCGGTGTCCACATATCAGGTTTCCAGAACATTCCTGATTCACAGTATCCTGCCCGCAGTGGGGGAGTCAGAACCACGGGCTCCTGCACGCGCATCTGCCTCCCTCTCACCGGCCGGCGTTGAACCTGACCCTGCCTCATGAGCTGTTTGCCCTTGCCTTGGCCCCCTGGAATCCACACGCAGAGTCAAAGCAAAATAAAATGCAAACACAAGCTGAAAACACAAGCCCCACGCAGCCCCTGCCCGCCCCCGCTCGGCAGGCGTGACCCCAGCCTTCCCCTGGATCCAAGAGGCCTTCCTGGGAACACACTGCTTTCCAGTGTCTGTTCGAGACGTGCAAATGACGCGCACGGGCCCATCGTACGTCTTACCAAACCGAGATTACAGTATACACACCACATGGCCAATTGCCTGGTGCACTTACTGGTAATTACACACCCGGGCAGTCCCCAGCGCCTGCTGAGGAAGGACGCCCAGGTGTGCTGTCCCAGCTGGGTCTCCGGGCAGCCCTGACTACGCTGCCCCAAGCTGTGCTCCCGCCCCACTCGGCCCCGACCCCCGGGGTCTCACCCCAGCCCCTCCTCCGCCTGCCCTAGCTCTCCGAGGCCATTCTGTTGAATGCTGTTGATTTTATTCAACAAATTAATGTTTTAGCACGTGTTCTGTGCCAGGCACACAATGGTTCTCAATGTTCGTCAGCTTTAACTCATTTAACTCTGTCCACAACCCAGTGTGAGAAGCACGATTGCTACCCCCGTTCGAAAATGGGGAAACTGAGGCACGGGGAGGTCCTCGTCCAGAGTCTCGCGGCCAGTGAATGGCAGAGCTGGGAGTCAACCCAAGCCATCCAGCTCTGGGGTCCATACTCTCAGCTGTCATATCGGGGGTTCTGAGACGCGAGTGAGCCAGACCCCCGCGGGGCTCGTGGAAACGCAGATTGCCGGCCCACCCCGAGAGTCCACGATGCGGGGAGTCTGGCGTGGGGCCGGAGAATTTGCATTTTCTAGCCCATTTGCAAGTGATGCTGATGCCGCCGGCCAAGGAACACCGAGCGAAGCCCAGGGTCACACGCTGCTGCCCCTTGGCTCCCAGCAATGGGACCTCCAAGCCTCTCTCCTGAGGGCAGACAGGGGACGGGGAGGGGCCCTCAGGAATAAAGTGCAGCGCATGGTCTGGAGCCATTTAATCACCCACAGTCTAAACAGCCCTGGGCATCACAGGCTGCTTCGACCTCCTACGAAGCTCTCTTACCTCCCCCCAAAACGTCCTTAAAACACGTTCCTCTCCAAAGCTGTGACTAAAGGGTGGACCCAGGCAAGTCTGGGTTGTTTGCACCCTGTATTTTTTAAAGAAAAGGTTGGCCCCTGACCGGCCCCCTCTGCCGGATGAGAGTGTTTTGTTTACCTGGGGTCTTGGGCCGCATAGTATCAGCTGACCCCTGGTCATAGAACTGGAGACCAAGGTCCACCGCAGGGGCAGTCAGCCACATCTACATGATCAGTCCCCAGCACAAACCCCGGACAGCAGCCGGGCAAGCTTCCCTGGCTGGCGCCACACCACATGTGTTGTCACACATCGTTGCTGGGAGAACCGAGGGCGGTCTGCACGGGGACGCTAGAGAGGGCCAGCGGGAGCTCACACTGGTGCCTCCTGGAGCCTGCCCCGTGCTCCTTTTCCTCTTGCTGGTTTTGAGGTGCACCCTTTCATCGCCTTAAACTGTAATTGCAAGTTTTACAGCTTCGCTAGGTTCTGGGAGTCCTTCTAGCGAATCGCGGAGCCTAAGGGTGGTCTTGGGGACCCCCAGATACGAGCAGCCATGGACGGTTACGGAGCACCGCCTGCGCACCAGGCTCTAGCCGGAGCCCTGCCCACCCTGCCCAGATCCACGGGTCCTCTCCGGCCCTGGGGCTGGAGGCAGCCTGGGCCTCACGGAAGATGCTTATCGCCCACCACGCACCTCCCACCACAGACAAACCCAGCCGTCTTGTCTGTGCAGCCCTGGCCATTACAGGCAGCCCCTTCGATGTAACACCAGGTAACGTCCCGGATGTCAGGTAATATTTCAGGTATCAGGTAATGTTCTAGGAACCAGGCTATGTCCTGGGAACAAGACAACGTCCCAGGTGTTAGGTAACCTCACAGGAACCGGGTAAAGTCCCAGGAACCAGTTAAAATCCCAGGTACCAGGTGACATCCCAGGTACCAGGTAACACGCTGGGAACCAGGTAATGTCCCAGGAACCAGGTAACCTCACAGGAACCAGGTAAAGTACCAGGAACCAAGTAACAACCCAGGTAACGTCCCGGGTATCAGATAATATCCCAGGAACCATATAATGTTCTGAGAACCAGGTAATATCCAATGTACCAGGTAACATCCCGGGAACCAGGTAACAACCCAGGAACCATGTAACATCCCGGGTACCAGGTAACCTCACAGGAACCAGGTAAAGTACCAGGTACCAGTCAAAATCCCAGGTACCAGGTAACATCCCAAGTGCCAGGTAACATGCTGGGAACCAGGTAATGTCCCAGGAACCAGGTAACCTCACAGGAACCAGGTAAAGTACCAGGAACCAAGTAACAACCCAGGTACCTGGTAACGTCCCGGGTATCAGGTAATATCCCAGGAACCATATAATGTTCTGGGAACCAGGTAATATCCAAGGTACCAGGTAACATCCCGGGAACCAGTAACGACCCAGGTAACCTCACAGGAACCAGGTAAAGTACCAAGTACCAGTTAAAATCCCAGATGCCAGGTAACATTCCAAGTACCAGGTAACCTCACAGGAACCAGGTAAAGTACCAGGTACCAGTTAAAATCCCAGGTACCAGGTGACATCCCAGGTACCAGGCAACATCCCAGGACACAGGTAACCTCACAGGAACCAGGTAACAACCCAGGTACCAGGTAACGTCCCGGGAACCAGTAACGACCCAGGTAACCTCACAGGAACCAGGTAACAACTCAGGTACCAGTTAAAATCCCAGGTATCAGGTAACGTCCCGGGAACCAAGTCACGTCTTAGGAACCAAGTAATATCCCGGGTACCAGGTAACGTCCCGGGAACCAGTAACGACCCAGGTAACCTCACAGGAACCAGGTAACAACTCAGGTACCAGTTAAAATCCCAGGTATCAGGTAACATCCCGGGTACTACGTAGCACCCCGGCGCCCCCCAGCAGGCCTTACCTGCCGATGACCTCGATGTTGGAGATGGCGTAGAAGTACTTGTAGAGGTTCTCCCGCTGCACGTAGGTGCCGCCCAGCGCGGGGCGCAGCAGCCGCATGCGCAGGTCGGTGAGGGTGAAAAACTCCTTGAGGCCCTTGGCGCTCTCCAGCCGCGTGTACAGGTTGGCCGTGTTGCGCAGGTCGGGGCCGGCGAAGATGGCGAAGCGGTCCCGCACCTCGAAGCGCACGTGCTTCTCCTTCTGGGAGCCGGCCCAGCGCGAGTACTCCTCGGTGCACAGCACGCGGTGGGCGCCCGAGGCCGGCAGGTCGCGCGCGCGGCGCGCGGCCATGCCGAAGGCCTCCATGCAGTCCTCCGCGTAGAACTGGTACGGCTGCCACGTGCGCCCGTTGTCCAGCGACTTCTCCAGGACCATGACGGTGGGCCGGCCGTACTCGAAGGTCACCACCACGTCGTCCGTCAGCTCCACGCTCTTGTTCCACGAGAGCGTGATGTTGGCTTCCAGCGGGCTCGGGTAGCGGCTCCACGTGACGCTCTGCCAGTACGTGGCCAGCCCCTCGTCCTCCTTGTCGAACATGAGCCGCGGCGGGTGCGCCAGGTCCGGGTTGGAGGCGTCGCATTCGTTGCTGCACAGGTAGGGGTTCTCCTGTTGGGAGGGGGCGGGGGAGAGAGGGCCGGGGTGGGCGCTGGCTGCTGCGCGGGGCTCTCACCGCGCATGCCCGGGCGTCTGCCCAGAGGTCCCAGAGTCTGTTTCGTCCCGTGACGGGGCACCAGGAAGCATCTCCCGGGTGGGTGATTTGGACCCACTTCCCTCACAGTTCGTAAAAACATGCAACTCTGTGGCTGCCCAAGAAAACACGCATTTACTCCTACTCTAAGTACGGACAATCGAGAAGGCTGGGTGGTGGTCACCTGCTCCAAAGTCCCCCGTGGCTCTTTGATACCTTGACCCTGCCCTCCTTCCACCTGGAGCCATTTTCCCTAATCTCCTGGGGCTCAGGCCACCCGAGCATTCCTGTCCTCCAAGGCCCCTTCCCCCAGCCTCTGAGCCTTTGCAGATGGCATTCCCTCTCCTCGACGTGCCCTTCCGTGCTCTGTCTGCCTCATAAATTCTTACCCACATTGTTGACCCTTTAAACGTTTCCTACGCTGAGATGCTTTCCAGACCCTTTAAACTATTGCCATTAGTAGGCACATCCGAGGTGGCGGTGGGAAAGTCAAAGTCATTGCAAACATGTGTCGGACAGCCACTCTGTGTCAGGCGCCTTATCCCATCTCTCTCCTATTCAACAGCTCACCTCCAAACTCTGGGTGGGAGTATGATCTTCCTGCACTGGATGAAGAAAGCTGTCCTCCGTCCTCAGGAAGGTGACGGCCCTTGCCCAAGGCCCCCGCCAGGAAGAGCTGGGAGCCACACCCTGGCCTGTCCCATGCAGAGCATGACGGTCACACCTATCTCTGGCACAGCATGCGTGTCTGCTTCACGCACAGCCTGGGCACACTGAAAGGATGTGCCCAGGTTCCTCTCGAGGGGGTACATTTTTGTGGCAAGTCATTTCCAGGTCTTTGTCATGTACCTGGCAGGCTCAGAGGGGGACACTGGCTGAGGAACACAGGGCACAGCCCCCACTCACTTACTCCTCCCACCAGAAGGCTGGCAGCCTGCTCTCGGGCCCTGTGGGTACCAGCCATGATCCCCTCCGCAGCTGTCCCAATCCATCCCCGTGTGTGGTCCACCGTGCGAACTCATCTGGAGGCCTGAAAATGTCACTCACACAGTGGCTGCCTCGGGGTTGGAGGGATGAACAGGTGGAGCCCAGGGGAGCCTGAGGGCAATGAGGCAATTCTGTATGACACTCACAGTGGACACACGACATAGTGCATTTGTCCAGACCCGCAGAATGTACAACACCAAGAGTGAGCCCACGTCAACCATGGACTTGAGTTAATAATGTATCAGCGATGCTTTATCAACGGTGACAAATGTACCAACTGACGGGAGATGCCGACGAGAGGGGAGGCTGTGAACCCGAAGCGGGAGGTGTCAGGAACATTCTTTACTGTCTGCTCGATTTTCTGTAAACCTAAAACTGCCCTAAAAAAATAAAATCTATTTATTAAAAAAAGAATTGTCACCAAGAACCACACAGCACCCAGGCCACTTGCAGCCCTTTTTGATGAATATTTCAGGTCTCGTTTGCTCAGTGACAAAGGGCTTGGATCTGAGTTAAAGCTTCTCGCTTTCAAATGAGCTATCGGCTCCCACAGGGAAGTGGGGTGCTGCCTCCTGAGGTGCTGAGCCGCCCCCATCACCGCAGCCGCCTCGGGTTGTCATCACCTTTGATCCCCCTCGGAAAAGGACGAGTTCCCAAGCCGCCCTGGGTGTCTCAGTGGGCAGGCTGGCCCCGGGGTTTGCTGAGGCAGCTTCCACAAAGCCCTCCTTGACCAAAATAGCTCTGTCCTTGGTCCCCCCATGCTGCCACTGTCCACCCCGCCTGGCCAGCCCTGCCGAGTCACGGGACCCGCAAACTCCAGGGTGGACGGGGTGCACCACTGAGTCCAACCCCTCGTTGAGCAGATGGGGAAACTGAGGCCCAGGGCAGGACCGGCTCAGACCTCCCAGAGAGCGGGCGGTTTCCTGAGAATGGGCCTGCTCCTGTCCTAGACAACCTCAGTGTCCCAAAACACTGGTGTCCTCACACGCAGCATGGCAGGGAGAGGGGCCTGGTTCAGCTCCTGGAGGTCTGAGCTTCCTCGAGCTCCCGCTGGGTGACCCTCGGCCATCGCCCTGAATGGGGGTGGGGGCTGAGAGGCCCCACGGGGATGGCTGGATGGACCGCAGAGGCAAGGCCTCCATCTGGGGCCGGAGGAGGCAGGCCTGCCTGTGCATGCCAGCCCCTTCCCCCTTCACTCGGCCAGCCCACAGCGGGGAGGGCCGCTCTGAGCCAAGAGGCAGAATAGGCTGTGGTTGTGCCATTTGGGGCAGGGAGCAGCAAGCAGAGGCCCCAGAGTCCACACCTAGACACTGGGGGTGGGAGGACGCATTTTGCACCCATGTCGGCACCCTCCTCTCCCCTCCCCACACCCAGCACCTGCCCTCTACCCTCAGCCCTGCTTCTCCCTCCTACTGCCCCCCGCACATAGTTATGAGCTAAACTGTGTCCTGCTCAAAATTCATAGGTCAAAGCCCCAATCCCAGGAACGCAGAATGTGATTGTATTTGGAGACAGAGCCTTTAAAGAGGTGACAAAGTTAAGACGAGGCCCTTAGAGTGGGCCCTAATCCAATCTGACGGGTGTCCTTATAAGAAGAGGAAATTTGGACCCATGGAGAGACACGGGGTGCATGTGCACAGAGGGAAGACCCCACGAAAAGGCAGCATGCTCCTTGGGCATCTGCGAGCCAAGGAGGGAGACCTCAGAAGACAGCAACCCTGCCTTGGTCTTCAAGGGTCAAACAAAACTTGACCTTGGACTTCAAGCTTCCAGAATCTGAGAAAATAAATCTGTTGTTTAAGCCACCCAGGCGCCAGCAAACTAATGCACGACTCGTCCCAGGTGTGCAAAAGGGGATCAGGGCGGGAGGAACGGCTCAGAGGGGCGGGACTGGACCGAGAGTGTTTGATGATCGCCCCAGAAGCTCTCTTTGGGGCCTTCTTCTATGAGGCTTGTTTCTCCGCACGCTGGAGGCTGGGGCGCATCGTGCTGCCTCGTCTACCTGGGAAGCTCTTACTAACAGCAACGGAGGCTGTGCCTTTTCCCTGGCGGCTTCATCCCCTCTCGCCTCTGAGTTCGTGTTCCTACAGCCACTCTCCCTCTTTCTGGTTTTCGGAGCCTTCCCCCATGCACCTCCTCCAGGAAGCCTTCCTTGCCTGACTCCATCTTCGAGGCCGGTTCCCTCGTCATCCGTCATGGGGTTGTGAGTGTCCTCATCTAGGACAGTGTAGTGGAGCCTCTACATATGGCTTGGACCTCAGTAACTGCTCACCAAAATAGAGTTATTATTGTCATCTATTAGTTATTGATATAATAACAATTAGATTAATATTAATATATCTCATAGTGAATATCGTTATTATTCCTGTCAACTCCCAACTGCTGTACGTCATCCCACACCTCATCTTTTCCCCCCGGTCCTTCATGGTTTTACCTTCCTGCCTTAATTTCTCTCACCCTGCTGAGCTGCCTGGTGGTCCCACTGGGGGGCATCGGATCCCTCAGAGCTCCCAGCTGTGCCCAGCCTGTCTGTCACCAGAAAGACTGACACAGCGGGCTCTGCCAGGGGACGGGGGCTCCAACCTGGCTGCCAGCCATGCTGCCCTAACCTGCGGGGCGCACTGGCCCCCCGCCCCCACCCCCAACCTGGGAAGCAGATGGTCAGAAACTAATGAATCAGCCTGTGTATTTACAGCCCGCGCCGGCTGCCGAGCGGGCTTCATCAACAGCGAGTACAACAAATAAATCCCGAGCCATCGCCAACACGACTCTCTCTCCCTCCTGCTCCTCCCTTTCCTTCCGCCACCCCCTGCTCCAAGATCTCAGGATTCCATTTAACCGTTTAGAAGCACGGAGCGTGTCTCTTGCAGAAGGGGCCGTGATGCCCAGCCGGGAGGATTCTGAGGATGAAGGCGTGAGCCTGGGATTAGAAGTGGGGTTACCCCACCCCACTGCCTCGGCCCCCAGTGCTGCTGCATCTGACAGCTGATGACGGTGTGCCGAGGAGGGCAGGGTCACTGGGCCAGGCTTTGCCATCTTCATGGTCTGCACCTTTCCACCCGTGTCTGTGAGATCAGGTTCATAATGAAACGAAAAGTCTCAAAAAATGGCCCGATGCCGGGGGAACGTCAGGGGTGTTTGAGTCACACCTTTAACCTGCTGGGACGACACCAAAGCCATCACTCAAGCAATCAATCAATCATATCCCTGATGAAAAGCCTTGGAACTTTCTCCAGAAATATGTCACATACCACATTTTCCATGCAAATTTGGGGGAGGGGTTCATGGAGCCCCTTCTCCCCAGTTGGCAACCCCTGTTCTGGAGTCTGGAGCAGTTAAGGAAACTGGTTTTGGGGTCTGAAAACCTAGAGTTCAACCTCGGCTTTGTCCCTCGAGGCTGTGTGACCTTGAGAAAGTCGCTCTACCTCTCTGGGTCTTCATTTTCTCATCCAATATCTTGGGGGATAACACGTATGACATGCTTAGAAAATGTCCCCCATCGGTAGCAATGGTTATTAAACAGCGGCTGCACATGGACCAGCTCTGTCTCCTTAACAGTAAAGCCGGACTTTGGCACGTGACACGGGCCGCCTTGGGACTGCCGGCTCCGAAGAGCGTAAAGATCATGACATTCGCCGAGTGCCAACCATGTGCCACCTGGGCCCTTCACCCCCTCGTCGCTGTCTCCCAGGAGCACCCAGGAAGCCAGGTGCTACGGCCATTTCCATTCACAGGGGAGAAACTGAGTCCCTGCTGGCCGCCCTCACTTTCTCTGGACTCTGTGGGACCCAACGCAAGAAACCTTGGGGGAAACCGAGCCCATGCCACCTGCAGCCCTCCCGTCTCTGCAGACACACAAAAGGCAAGTCACCCTGAGGCGGGGCGGCCCAGCTGGAGCGGGGGAAGGCAGCCAGCCTGGACCGGAGCACCG